CCCAAGTTGTCAACAAGTTTGGAACAAGCTGTCAACAATTTCTAACAACCTTGTTGATATTGTCAGACTTGTTGCAAGGTTGTTCCAACAAGTCCGGTACGGTCATGATATATAACAATATTGTTACAACATTGCGTCGTCAACCTTGTAACATTCTTGTTATATCATGACTGTATCAGACTTGTTAGAGAACAACCTTGTAACGCCATAATGCCATCAAGCTTGTTAAAAGTTGTTAACAGCTTGTTCCAAACTTGTTACAACAACTGGGAACAAACAGTACGGAAAACAACTTGTCGACAGCTTAAGAACAGATTTGTGACAACTTGTGTGCAGACCTCTAACAACTTGTGCGTTTTTATGTGTGTGGGCGATATCTGTGCTTGATTTACACAGTACAATTATTCAAGTTGTAAACAGGTTGTATGCGGCAGTTTTACTGCAGGCAGAAATTGTGTACTGTAAATCGGCCTATTCATAGCATTTTTCCGTTTAATGAATGAGTTGCCGGTTCGCAGGCCCCCTTTGTTTTGCACGGCCAATTGCCCCCTGGCGATACCATAATACATTGCATTATGTGCAAATGCAATGTATTATGGGATCGCCAGGGGGCAATTGGCCGCGCAAAACAAATTGGGCCTGCGAACCGGCAACTCATCCACTGTAGATACATCAGACAATGATGTCATTGACATCAGATGTCATTGACATCAGTGTTGTAAAGTGGTCCGAGAGCCATCGGGCGCGTTTTCTTCCATAAAAACAATTTTGGGACAACTTGAACATTGGTAGCGAATAATGTTTTTTTAACTATATTGCAATGAATCAAAATCAATTCATGTACTGTATATTATTCCACGAACTAGAAAAACTGAGTCTGAAAGATAGTATTTGATGTGTTAGCTATATACAGTAATAACATATTTTAGACCTTTTTCGTTGGATGATTTTGATGTTTATGAAAAGCATTTTACCACGATGAATTATCGACAGAAGGCCACATTTAAACAGGTACGTCATGTTAATTAATTTTTACTTTTCTGTTAAAAAAATTCCAAAGATATATTGAAATAATTTCTCCCTGGACGTCGCCATTTTGAATATTATCAGGGGAGCGAATGCCTCTGATAAGCGCACTGACTAGGACCATGGCGTCAGCATTTTGATGACGAATTACGGCTACGCCAAAATCATAGGAAAACCAAGAAATTGGGTTTCTGTATAGTCTTTATTCTGTGACTGAGCTGCAGAGTTCAGAGTGAATGAGCTGCAGAGTGACCTAACCAGGAACAGTGACGAAAAATGCAACCGTAGACACTCTGGCAGGAATCACAGGGCCGCATGCAGGTTCGTTCCCTGCCAGAGGGCTTACTGTATATCGTAATAATTGTTTTATTGACAACCAATTTTGCAGTTAAAACTGAATTACACTGGTTTTACAACTGTAAGATACTATAACTAAGAATATGTAATAACATACGATTTAAGAATATTAAAAGTTAATGTTCTATAGTTGCATTTGAAATAGATCAGACTCTGTAGTTTATAAATGTGAACTTTATATATGTTTTGATTTGATAGGTGCTTTATGATGAGTTTCCAGAAATGTTTGATCGTCAAAACCCTGGTTATAAGTGGCAAGATATTGAGGTAACACGAACGCCTTAGATTAAATATGGATATAGAGGAAGATCATTTCACGTTCTATATAGCCAATCGCCCAAAACGTCCAAAAACTATAACTCTCCAAAATGTCTGGAATGCCATTTCAAAGGGCTAAAATTTCAGAATCGTCACAGAGAGACGTATACGCCCACATAGCCGCCTATTTCTTTCAAATTCTATTGGCAACCCTAGTTAGTCAAGCTTAGGCCTCCAAGAACCCCCTCCTTCTAAGGAGCCATAAACATTTATTAAGTTCCAAAATTAGATAATAATAATATAATTTGCGCTCTTCCCTTTTTTTCATTCAAGAACCAAGTTCACAAAGTTATAAAAGAGCTTTTTGAAGCAGCAACGTCAGAACCGCCACCGAAAGGAATTGGTCACTGCAAAATGGTAAATTGAGGAAGACCTTCTATTTCACTTTTTTATGATATATTGTGTTCGCTATTTATATTACTACTGTATTTTGGCGGGCACACAATATAATCCTAAATTTTTATCAAAATCTTTGCGCAAAGGTTCAACTGAAGAGACTTACTGTATATTTCAGAAATTAACAAAATTCTCTTCTATTTTGCAGTCTCGAGCATATTACGCTTTGGATTTCATGCTGAAGTGGGCAGACGATGGTAGGTCTTTTGTCAGTATAGCTTAACGAAACGTTTGGCAATTCCGACCAGCTTTTGCCATTTGCCTAAATGTGATCAAGATATAGGATGTTTTGTGTGTGTTATGTAATACAGCTTAGACTACAGCATAATGTATAAGATGACTCCAATCACTGGTTTATTATAACACACAGCTCAAGGTGGTGTTTTCCACAGGCCATTTCGCCAAAACATAATTAATGGTGTTTTCTTTACTTTTAGGTTCAAAAACAATGCAGCCTGTTCTGCTTGAAGTAAACTTCAACCCAGATTGCAACCGACTGGTAGAATACTATCCTGACTCATTCCATCATCTCTTTTCAAGTTTGTTCCTTGGCGAGAAAACACCGTGGGGTTGTGTACGACTGTAATTGAGGTACAAATGATGGGGGGGGGGAGGGAGAAATAGAGCGTGGAGGGGGACCGCCACCCCCAGAGAATCCTAACTGTGGTAGTGTAACTGATACACGTGCAATTTACAGCGTTCTGTGGGGGCAAAAAGATGAAAGTGGAAGGGAAAAGAGTCTCTAATTTAGGGGGTAGGTTACACGCGCCAAATTTCTAAGCGACTTCTAATGTGTCGATCCAGTCCAAGAAATGGCAAATTTGCCCCGGTTCCTTTATTGAATATCTCTCACCACGAAAACATTTTGAGGTTACTAATTAAATATTAATACTGAAACAAACGCATCCATGCAACATACATGGACTCAAAATATTCATCGACTCGTGTATTCCATAACATTTGCTCAATTTTGTGAATGAAATTTCTCAAAAAATTGAGTAGAAATTTTTCAAATTATAAAAATCCAAAGTTAGCACTAAGTAAGTTACTTAAATTTTAAGTAATTTACTATGAAATGAGTAAAAGGCTTTGATTTGAAGCTTTGTTTACTTTTTAAATTTGGCATATTCCCGCTAGTTTGGTTGTCATGATTCTCATGATTGTCAAATTGGAAAATTTTGATATTTGGGGAAGAAAGAGAGTGGGGTGTTTGTCTTCGAGTACGTCTGGTATTGCATCCAACAGATAGAACGTGATCATACTGTGCATTGTTTGGATTTATAAAGGGAATGTTTTATCCTTTTAATTGCTTTTTAATTAAGTTTACTTTATTGGTAATCTAAGATCTTCCATTTTAATTGGTAATCACACTTACATGCAGTATCAGCTGCAAATTGCTCTCATTGAAAAGTATACTTTGTTATTCAAATTTTCACAATTTTGAAACTCAGTTTGTGAACCTTTAATGTAAACAATACTATATCCTCGCCTTGATAGTTGATAGAGAAATATATTGCGTTCTATGCATGCACAGCTTTCGTCAACTCTCATCAATTGAAATGTGTTCCTGTGATATCCAGTCAACTCTCATCAACTTTCATGCAACTCTTGCTCTTGTTTCACCAGCCATGAGAGTTGAGAAAACTATCACTTCCAAACTCTCGCTTTTCAGCTCTCGTCAACACATCCTCGTTCTACCAGATTCGACAAATGATAACCGCAACGTTTGGACTAAGGCTGACATATTTTTGGATCATGCCCATTCACATCACCAATTTTCCTACCAAGTTTTCCTACCATTGTTTGCCCTTTACACGGCGTCCACATGCTATTGCTAACGTAGGTCTGTTTTCAGGCTATCCGGCCACATGTAGACAGTCACAACTATTTACAGAGGTCACGACACTCGGTCACTCTATACTATTGTGATATACGGTATCTTGCTATCAACAGCTGGATTTTGTTAAGAATTAAGTATAGAACACTTGATTATCATATTAAAAGCATCTCAATAGTCAATACTAAGCTCCATACACTTAACTGACGACATAAAATGCACTACAAAACATGTACTTATAAGAACAACAATTTTAATTAAGAAAACAAGAACGACACTTGTGTTTCATCAAAACATAATATGAAGAAAAGCTATCAAATACATGATATTATAGTTTCTCTGATGTTCTACTATTGATTTTCTCCACCTCGAAAATACCCACACGAGCTTATAAGTCGTATAAACTATAAGAACTAGGGCTCAATGCAGCATCATAACAAGGCTTTCTTAATTATCAGCTTAGCTTGGGAGACGAGGTTAAGTACGTGAATGGGGAGCAGCACAAACAGTCGGCAACATAAACAATACGTCATGCAGTCCATAGAAACACGTATCTGTGACGCTTGTGATGTTAGTCTGAGTATATATCCATGCTGGGCAAGCTTGAAAAATATGCCTGGCCACGGTGGGAATCGAACCTACAACAAAGGCCTGGCCACGGTGGGAATCGAACCTACGACAAAGGTCGTAGGACGTAGGTTCGATTCCCACCATGGCCAGGCATATTTTTCAAGCTTGCCCGGTGTGGATATACACTCAGAGTAACATCACATGAAGGCGATGAAGCATCATATTCACCTGAGTACAATTACATGCACCAACACAGAAAAAGCACGTATCTGTGACGTCACTCTCGAGAATTTTCGTCATTGGTGGCGTATTTCATATAATATTCCGCTTACCGACACGTCTCGCGTAGGCGCACATGGACTTTTTCATTCCACTTGCCGAGATGAAACTATACAATTAATTTGTGAATAATTAACGCTCGTAAACCTTGTATACATTTCAGACATGCAACACAAATCGTTTAACCATTTTAGTGTTAGTCTAGCAACATAATAATTGTTTATAGAACAAACAAACCAAGTAAAAATTGTTAATTAAACCGCAAAATCGGAGATCGGATAAGCGGACTGGCGTATTCATGACATAAGGCAAATTTTAGTTTCAGCGAGCCAAGTCTGCTTCCTCGTACCAACGATGTGTATCTTACAACTTTCCTCTTATATAGTATCTTACGACTTGCCTTTGAGGACAAGGAAACATTAACTTGTTCATATATTATCATGTTTGTTGTTGTTTAAGGGGCCGCAGTAATTGGCTTGCGCTGTTGTGGATTCCCTGCCATGTGCTAATATAGTTTATATTTGTACAAGGGCTAAGCTATTTAATTAAAATGTGGTATATAACCTGGTATAACCTCGTGGTATAACCTAGCACATCTATAAGTGCTTAGAAATTTTTCCTGAGCGTTTAAAGTTTGTACCATGGGAACACAAACACTTGAACGTTTCATATCGTTCAAACTTGTTAATATCACTGGGAAAAGTTTAATAAAACTAGTTAATATCACTGGAAATTGTATGGACCTTTATTGGAAATAGAATGGATTTTTGATTATCCACAATAATTGTATGTTTCCATACTGTGGGTATAGTATCGAAATAGTATGGATCTATATATATGCATGATTTAGACTTTAGACGTTTAGTGGTGCAATTGCAAATCTCATATAGCATGGAATTCATGTTCTTTTCCCAGTGTATATGTATTAATCTTTATTGAGTTTTGTAGTAATGTAAATAAACAGATAAACAAATGGTAAATAACTACAGCTATAGCGTTTGCTCAATGATCGGATAAGTCGCTCCCTGAAAGTTTTGAACTTGGAACAAAAAGTGTGGCGAGAAACTTACAAACTTCTAAAAATAAATGGTGTAGACTGTAGTATTTTTTTATCAGTTATATTATGCAATATATATGCATTCTATAATTCTATCCCAAGATTACGGAATCTTCCAGGCAAGTTTTTGCAAGACAAGTATTCATCTCGCATAGGCGACCAGATGTATAGACCGCGATATTTCAGCAAATTGAATGATGTGCCATGAATATAATGAGTCGCCCAGGGAAAATATATAATTTCTATGATAGCCAGGATCTTTTACCGTTGCCAAGTAACTCGGCGAGTTAGGTAATCTACGAATGGACCCTTATAGTTTATGTCAGATGCAATATAATTAATGTTAAAACTAAGTTAGAACTTAGGGGGCGTGGGAAGTTAGATATCTTTCAAGTTTCACAAAAAAGAAAAAACATGCTTTGCAGCCTCGGAGCTAATTAAAAAAGTCATAAAACGCCTAACAATTTGACTTGTAAATAATTTGACAGATTTAGAACTCTCTACCAGTTTAAAGTGTTCATATACTAAATAGAGGTCCATTAATTAAACAGGTAATATAAATGAAGTTTGTATTATTTGAAAGAAATTTTAAAATGATGAATGAAGACCTTTAGGCTACAAATTTTCCATATCGTATACAAGGTTCCCAAAATATTTTAACCAAAAACTGGACTCCAAACTTATAGTATATATTCATTGCTTAGTTTATGTACGTATATAATCACGTGTATTAATGTCAGGCAGGACGTAATTTGGGATTTTATTTGTCCTGCTGTCTGAGCTTTCAATTGTTATTGTGAAATTAATTAAAAAAGTAAAATTGTGTAAAGATTCGCGATAATTTTATATATATGATAATATGGCTTATGTAACACAATAGCTATCTTAAACTAACATTGCTTAAAAAGAGAATTTTCGCATGTATTGATACCTTTTGCATGTAAACGTCCATGCAATCTCGTCTGCCATGTGCCTGGCTGCTAGGCATCCGCAGTGTAATTTAACATTGACGTTGACAAAACAGCAAGGGGCCCGCCATGCCGTGATTTCGAAATCACTTGATTTTTGAGCTGATCAGTTCATGCCTTCATTTTCATGATTCAACACTCCAGATTTCCTGAAGATATCAGGGACAGTTACCTCGACAAGTCGACAGTTACAGTAGTAGCTAGTAGTTTTGCTACATTTCAATGCCTGAAAATACGTTTAGAATGAGGGGAGCATGATTATTGTACAATTCACTGACATGCCCCCATTTGAAAATTTGCGTTTCCTATGGGCTATGGTCTTAAAGAATGCTGTTTCCTGCACTAGGAAATGACAAGGGGTAAAGATTGAAAAGCATACGCTCATAATTGTTTCCTATTTTTGTACTGCAGTCGCTACCCAAACAACTTTTCATCGGATTTGGAAGAATTAGAAAAGAATAGAAAACGTGTAGTCCTAAATTAGCGTATTCCTTGCAAGAGTTGTTGGGAAACTTGCGGTTTTATACATCATCAGTGGATATATGCAAATTATTACAACCATTTGTGTAATTATGTCCCTCCCCTCCCCCATTCAAATCAATGTTGTTTACCCGATCACCGAAGCAAGATGCTAACTGAAACCCAGCATTGAAAGGGGGACGGGACGGGAGGATGGAAGTTTGTCAAAATAATTGGTAGTGGGGGCGTCTTTCCAACACATTTTAAAATGAATGCTGATATGATGCACACTTGGATCAACTTTATGTTGACATTTGACATTTTAAAATAGGTATCATATATCCGTCGATAATTGAAATACAAAGCCAAGATAAACTGACGGATCCGTGACCCGAATGCGAGAGTTCAAACTTCAAACCCCACTCAAGCCAACTTTAATAAAGCCTCATACAGACGGGCAATTTTTTCCCGACAAGTTTTTCTTGAGCCGTCTTATTTGCTCGTGTGTGCGGCAAAAAATTGACACTGAATTTTTCCTTGCCAGCAGGAGCCTTGTTCCAAAGCTATAATCATGCCAGCTTTTGGACAAGGAAAATTTGTTGGTGTGTACAGGAAATGGAAAGGAAAACTTGACAGGTGTACAAAAATACTTCTATGGTTTTAAAGTTGGAAACCATAGTCATAGAAGTATTTTTTGTACACTTGTCACAGTTTTGCGAAACAAAAGGCGCCCTTCACGGCTGGACGTGAGATAAATGTTTAGCAACATGTCGTGCAGGCGTGCTCACGGGCAACAAAACGTTGTCACGAAAAACTGTCGGCCACGCGTGAAGATAAACTTGTCATCAAAGAAACTTGTCATGGAAAACTTGCTCGTCTGTACGGGAGCTTACAGTTAAATTTTTTCTTTTCCTTTATTTATTTATTTATTTATTTAACTTTAAGTGTGCCACATTGAATGTATACATTGAATATATAAACTTAAGACTACAAAGAAAACAAAAAAGCATGCATGATTAATGTGTGGCCAAAAAACCGCATCAGCAGATAAAGCCAATTACAGTGTCAGTGATCCCGACAGGCGAATATATTTATAGTTGCAACATATAATTAGGTGCCCTGCATAAGTATACGTGCTGGTTACACTTTATTTCTGTGGTCTCAGATTTTCAGAATTAAAGATTCTAGAAACTGCTGTGTAAAAATAATTGCTGTGGATGTTTCTGTAATAGAATCAAAACACTGCGCGCCTTCACGTGGGTAGCGTTTAAAGATACATGCCGGTTTACACGCTGTGATTATTTCTCTCACGATTTTTGTCATTCTGGGGTATAAAAATTACTGCTGACGCCACAATTACTCGTCGTTTAGTTCATGGCAAAATTTTAAATGTAGTCACTTTACAGGGGGGGGGGGGTCTTTACACGTGTTTCATCGATTACATACGCCAGAATATGAAATTATGAATCGCAAGTCTACACGAAACTATATTTCGTGTACATATTAAAACTCGATACTCGAGTATGTGACAGTGTAAGAAATTATTTTGGACGGCATTTAATCTTCACGTTTCTCTGAGGATGATTTTGTAAAAAGTATATACTTCGACGAACTTCGTCGTGTTTCGCTCGTTGCTCTGGTTTAAAAAAATGAATGCAAAGCCAAAGCCCAGTCGAATTGCATTCACGACCCAACGTTTTGACACTCCAGTACTGGGAATTGAATTCGTTTCTTGAAACCAGAGTAGCGAGCGAAAACATGACTGATATTTATATACCTAGTTGCCGTGAACTTACAAATTTTAAAGATATATATACTCTTCTATTAAGTACAATCCATATTATACAGTTCACTATGGTTTCAACACGTTACCCCATCAAACAAGAGCAGTGTGTCTTTGTTTGACAGTACACAAATAGCGGACATTCCAAATGTACTTTGACAGTTCAAATCTAAATCCTAGTGGCTTTACACGATTTCGACGTGTACGACCGATATATTTTGACTGCCGATATTTTCCCAACGGCAAAATTTCACCATGTACGTTGGCAAACAAACAAACGATCGCGAATGTTGAATATTTTATTATTAAACAGCCAACATCAGGATACGGTCGAATACAACTGTCAACTCTAGTTCACCTAGGAGATAAAGGAAGCACTCAGAGATTTAGATCTTTGCTGCAATTTTGTAAGTCCACGTGGGCTAGTGAAGCGAATTGCGCGCATTAGCCAATAGGAATGCGAGATGATGTAAATACAGCGTGCGCGTCAGCCAATCAGCGCGCGAGGATTGAATGAAATCGTATAAACACAATACAACAGTGCCGGGTTGTTGCATGCACTAACTGTCATAATTGTCAAATGAGTCCAGTGCTTGGCTATTGAACAGGTTTAGTAAATACTCACTGCCGAATCACACGATCTTTGAACGAATTTCGCAGCCTCAAAACATTGGTGTGTAAACGAAACGAGCAGTTCACAAAAGATTGCAAGATTTCGTTGATGGCCCCTCAGAATTCAAAGAGTTCCCGAGAGAAGAGATCAGGTAAGTCTATCTGACAAGAATGAGTAGAGCGTGATTATACGTCTAGTGTTTCCCCTCTCAAAATCAAATTCCGTTTCAAGACTTAGGTTTAAACAAAATACGCTCATATAATGCCTTAACTATCAAAGGAAGGCTATCCTTGGGTGGGCTTCCCAGTAATAAAGTCTCTTTAGCACGGAGCTGACTGCCTAGTACAGCCTATCACGCTTTTGGCATCTTGTTTATGACTGTACATATAAGACTTAAAGCCTGATTGATTATACTTCTCTTTGATTTGTAAATCGTGTGAAATTCTAAGGATCTCAAATGCCTCCATATATCAAGCTAGAATGGAGAAACGCTATGTATCATATATATGTTATTTGATTTGAAGTAATCCCAACATATAAGGTCAATATGTAATCTGTGGCATGCTAAAACGTGGTCTTGCTCGCTTCACTGCATTTAAACACATTATTTGACAGCTCGTAACAGCACAAAATTTTCCTTGCTGGTTACAGTTCTTGAAACCAACCCCTATCGGGCAGCGATATGTAAAATATCACGAAACAAATTCTCCATCGCGAATGTATATAAATTACTCTACAATTATTGTGTTACATTTGGACTGTTCATTTTACAGTGGCTGTAAGCATTCAAGAGTCGACTTCAAACTCGCTCCTTAGCAAAGTGTGGGAGGTCTCTTAGCTACCAAAGAAGTTTCTTTTAGGCAGTAAAAACGTCGTAAATCATTTCGTGAGTTTAATATTTGGTTTATTTTCTATATAGTATTTGATATAAAAATGGCGAAGAAGCCAGACAGTGACAGGCCCCCCGCCAGGGATGGATACTTGTCTTCACGTGGTCACGCGAAAAACGGCGGGTCTTCGCCGAAGAAACGTCGAGGAAACCTACCCAAAGATGCTGTGAACGTCCTACGCTTATGGCTTTGGGAGCACCGATTCAACGCGTACCCATCGGAAAGCGAGAAGCAGCATTTGTCGCGAGCATCTAACCTAAGCGTGTTGCAAGTATGTAATTGGTTTATTAACGCAAGGCGACGTATATTGCCCGAAATGATTAGACGAGAGGGACACGACCCGAGTCATTACACGATTACGAGAAGAACGACTAAAAGTACAGGAAGTACGAGCAGTGCTAGTTCCAGACGCAGTAGCACAAACGATGAGTACTCCATGAAATATGACTCCGCCACTTTCAGCGACGCGGATTCCGTGTCGAGTTGCGACTCCGATAATTCTGGACCCCACCCCCTCTCCCCTCAGGAGTGCGAAGACAGACTAAGCGCACGTTGTGTGCCCGTCGCTACCACCCTACCGAACAACGGAGACAGCACCCTATCCATGCTGGAAAATTTGACCGCGAATAATCGACTGTCAAGTATGGACCTGCTCGTCGAAGTCGCATTAAATTTGGACATAATACAAGGACACTGCTCTCGAGAAACGAAATTCCTCGCCTGTTAAGTGGTTGCGGTATTTTTAGTGAAATTTAATAGCAATCAAACACTTCGTAGGATTAAAGCCGTACGAAAACAATAGTTGAAAAAGACAACACGGATTTTTCATTTGATATTAAATGTAACATATTTCGTTCGACGATACATTGCCCACGCCAATCATTCGTTATACTTGATATTGAATTTCATACTCGTATTCAACTTTTCGGTTGCCCTGTCAACCGCGCGAGCTTATAAATATGAACATATTCATTTATGTGTACATAGACGTAAATTTAATAAATTTTCAGCAAATACATAGCTGGAGGGAGGCTGTTTATAGTCGCACATATACGCGTGCGCTACCAACTGCGATTTTAATGTGAAATCCTACCAAGGCCGACCTTTTTTTTCGCAGTATAATTATACTGTATGTTTATATTTATTTGTGAAATGCTTATAGGCAAAGCTATGGACGATTATATATTGTATATATTTATGTCTTGAGCTAAATAAAAACGATGATAAAGTGCAAAGTATTTCGTATTGAATGCGGCCAATGCAGTTTTGGTGCATGAAAAGCGGAGTTACTCATGTGAATGAAGACAATGAAGTTTACTAGCATTTGAGCTGTAACGAAATGAAAGGTTAAAAAATATTGTGTATCATTATTAATATGGCGTGAACAGGACAAAAATGGTTTGTTTAACTAGCTGACCAGCTGTTAGCATTGCCCAATACAAAGAACTTTTAACCTGTAATTGTTTCCGTTTTTTGTATTGCAAATTGAGAAAAAAGAAATTAAATTTTTTAGTCTGCTCGCTACTGATTTGCATACGAAGCATTCCTTGTATGAAAGCCAAACTATGAATTGGTGGTAAAATATTGCACTGTTTCTGTAAAGAGTGTAAAACTCGAGCGGGATTTGAAGGTTACTATAAACTTCAGGTCTTCTGTTCGCTTCTGAGTTCTGTACCTATTGAGCCAAAAGGGTTAGTGACTCTTTAAACTCTGGTTATAAAGTTTCCTGGTTGATCTAAAATTAACACTACTTTGTACTTGGGTTCATTTTCCTGGTTCAGTTTCCTGGTTATTTTACTACGATTTTCCAGCTTCCGTGAAGAGTGTATTTATAACTAAATTTCAAAACATTTCTTCCGCGGAGTTTGTCAATCAAAACTTTTTGTTTTTATATTCTAAATTTTTTGGGCGTTGTATCAAACTGCCGTTCTATTGCACGAGTTTCAGCGTCAAAACTCAAAAGAACACTTCTAATATGGAAAATAAACAAATCCGAAGGTGCTGTAAATGTGACATTTCACTTTCTATAGCAATTTTCTCGCGATGAAGTATAAACGCGCCAATGCGAAATATGACATGAAAGTTTCGCGTGCAAAACAATTTAGTTGATACCACGCCCAGCGAAATTATGGCTGTCAAACAAAAAGTTTTGATTGATAAACTCTGGCAGAAGAAACGTTTAGAAACGTATTTATAAATGCACCACGCATCACGGAAGCTCGAAAACAAGGACGTCGTGAAGACATCAAACATTGGGGTCGTCATGTTTTGACCAACCTTGACGACGGGGGGGGGGGGTTGTCAAAACATTTTCAGGACAAACATAAGCAAAGCTTCAAATATTTTTCGACCAAAATAAAGCAAGGCTTGCAATTGTTTCCGCGCAAACCAACCTCTACGAGGTTGCGCGCAAACATGACCAAAACTTAAGGCCGTTTTCCACTAGGCGAATTTTTTCGCGCGAACAGATAAAAAGTAGGAAGCGATCCTACTTTTTCGCCGCGAATTTTTTCGCCGACCAATCACGTTGCCGGATTTCGGTTTTCGCTTCGCGTCGCGCGAACAAATTCGCCTAGTGGAAAACGGCCTTTAGAAATTGTTAAAATTGCGAACGATTTCATAACTTTGACCATCTTTTATCTCAAACTTTTACCAACTTTTACCAACTTTGACTTTCGATTTTAAGCAAATATTAGTTCCATTTTGACCAACTTTGACCGTTTTGAATTATTGGGGGTGTTGCACTCCTCCCCCCCTGTAGCGTCGTCCCTGCTCGAAAATGGTGGTGTCTCACTTCCTACCACTGTCTGGTAAATGTGACCAGGAATTATAAATTATTTAAACCAGGACGTCCTTTGGTTCGAAACTATAGAAGACGAGCCTTAAAAATTATGTGTCCTGTTATAAATTCGAAAGATGCAATAGAGAAATAGAGGAAGCGAAAGCGACAACACTAAAGAACAGAGGAGAGAAATTACTGATGTCAAAAACTTTTGACTTCCATCGAAGATAACAGAACATGAACTTTACCATGTTTTCGTTCGTAGGGATGCAACTACCTGAAAAATATATAAGGAGAGAATTTCCTGTTTATTTTCAGATAGTTGCATCCCCACCAACGAAAGCCGTTGTTCATTTGATTGGCACTACCCACCATATAGGCGTACGAGACAGGGGGGCAGGGGGGGGGGCAATTGCCCCCCCCCCCAATTTTGGAAAACCATGGAAATTCGGGCAAATGCTAGTAAAAATCAAGAAAATTCTGGCAGATTTATCAGGTAATTTCATTACCATCCTCCATAAAAATTCGGGCAAACTTTCAACTGCCTCCCTGGCGGGAAAGCACATGATCAGCCCTGTGCGCCTATGCTACCTACATGCACTGGCAAAGACAGTTCAACATAAACTTTACCATCTATACTACGTGAAGAAAATCTATACACCAACTCAAACTTTTCGAGAGTTGTGAAGATATAAACTTCCAATTTGAATACGAACAGATTAAAAGAAACGACTTTAGAAAATCGATAGGGCGGTTTGCTGGATGGAAAATAGTGCTAACCTGCAGTCTTAACATATAAATTATTAACCATATTTGACGTAAACTCAATTGTAATGCAGTTTTTTTAAATTGCGAAAATTGACTTATTAAACGACCTCTGACTCTGTTTCTCCAAAAATGGTTTTGCAGAAACTGAGGGGTAAATTACTCTGAAAAAAGCGTACGAAGATTTTTGGGATTAGAAAATCCCGGCAATTTTTCTCGAGATTCTGGGATTTTTTCCCCAAATTTAAAGGATTTTGGGATTTTTTCAGCTGATTTTTTCGAAATATTTTCCCTTATTTTTTTCGCCGAACTTTTCCCGACATTTTTTGCAACATATAATCCGTCGAATTATTTTTAAAATGAAGTAAATCAACGAATTAAGGGTATTTTCTATAGAAATAATAGATATTTATTATTTCTAAGGTATTTTCACGCCAATTCATGATTTAAATGTTTACATTTGATGGGATTTCTCAATATTGCAATAATTTTGAGGATTTTATTGGTCTTTTTCCAAGTATTTTATGCAATTTTTAGAGATTTCTTGGGATTTTGGGATTCTGGGATTTATTAAGATTTTGGGATTTTTCCAAAGATTTTTTTTGATTTTTGATGAAGTGTACGAAGATTTTCCGAGTAATTTACCCCTCGGCAGAAACGATTACAAGTAATATGATAGTGATTAGTGACTAATATATGTTCAAAACTTCAACTATATTATATTTAATTGTTTTTGTTTGTGGAAACACCACGTAAATTTATTACTGCAAAGCTTTCTTTCAAAAAAGAGCGTGTGAATTAAACAAGTCACATATTATTAGCACTGATGCATGATGAAGATCGGGGCTTACGGATCGAAAGCTTTGCAGTAATAAATTTACGTGGTGTTTCCACAAACAAAAACAATTATATTTTATCGCCATGCAAACATTCAAAGAACTTATATATTATATTATATTTACAGATTTAAAATTATAGGCCCTTAATTATCTGAAACTATTTCAATTATTTAATTGAGATATACTTATAATTCCTTAAAAAATATATATATATATATATATAATAGTATAAAATAACCGGGAAATGAAACCAGGAATTCCGAATATCAATCAAGTTAAACCAAATAAGATTATTTATATGTATATATTAACCACATGTTTTTTATAGTGTCTGGCCCGAAAACTAAATTTTCAACACCATGTAAAAAAACGTGCTTGTCAAAGTATTTAGTAATTTCATTCACCCATTTATTATTTTTGCATACATTCTTGCCTTCTACGTATAAAGTTCTACTTAAATGATGAAAGTTTGCTTGTGGATTGCCAGTAATTAGAGTGTTTGATTGTTTGGACAAAATGTTCATGTTCATAGAATATTCTAGTTTTGCCACATTTTTTTTAAAACAAAGTCATTTTATGCCCACACTGTCATGTCTACTTGGACCAAAATGTAATATGTCTTTTATGGATAGATGTGTTTGATCGAGTGCCCACTTTAAAGTCTTGCAGTATATGTGTGGGGGTTTTGATGCAAGAGTTGTCAAAGCAACCAGGCGCCTGTCACTTTTGATGATATGGTGGATTCCGATTCTCGTTCCAGACTGCAGATATTCATGAATCATGTGCATGAAATGAGTCAATCTACGTTCTACTTACCTTTTGAACATTCCCTGTGGAGCGAACCGGGGTTTGCATACGTGGAAATAAATCCTTGACTCTATCAGGATGAGCCGATGTGTACGGTCTATACTAAGAAATATCAGTTAGTCAAGGTTTTAAATTGTGTTGGGTTGTGACTTAAACTGCCGACTCAAAACTCAAACAACCATGCCAGGACAACAGAAGAACATCGATGAAACAAATAATACAAATTATTGAGAGATTTTTAAATTAAAAGAGCTAGAATAACCAGTTGACTTTCACCTTATATAGCGGCTACCTGAGTATTTTCACTCAGACATTTTGAGTTACTGACTGTGGGTATACATTATCTTTATACTCCAGTTTTTAAATCAAAACTCTTTGCAGTGTATTAAAGAGCTGACAAGGATTGAGTAAAAGTCGATCAAATAGATTTATTGATAAATTTTGCTTGCAATTGTCAAAGACAAAACGTCCGAATAGATCGGGATTAGCTAATATTGTTATGAAGGTATATCAACAACTGATATACTGAAGTCAATTGAGCATTTATAGTTTTATGGTGCACTATTCTTCTATATAAACTGCGGTATATGATCAAGAAGGCAAACTTTAGACTTTATGCTTGACGTTGACTTAAGAGGGGCTGGTCTTAGTCAATTTGTTCTGTTGTATAGACTATATTTACTGTTCGTTTCTAAAGTCTGTTGCTCTTGCTTGGTCGAATATGACAATCAATCTATAGTGTCTGACTTAATTGAATCCATGCCAGAAATGTGCACTTAAGATAATTTTCCAAAGAAGAACTGCTTTATTGTACTCCGATTATAAGACGTAGAAATAAGTTTATACCCGTTCGCAAATCATTCGATCATTGGCAAATTTAATAAACCAACCGTTCAAACAAAATTAGTAGCAACAATCCTCTATAGCTTAAATTATTAACACTTGCATGTTTTCCAGTTAGTGATCATATATAGGTTTAAAAACTTCATTATTGTTAAATATTCTTGATGTATATATTTGTATATAGTTTATAGGTATAGTTTCAGTTTGGGTATTGCGGCATACTTTTATGCATGAATACCGTGTAATTCAGTTTATATAGCTGCAAAGCGGTTTATTAAACAGATTATTATTATTATTATCACATGCGAAAGTGACATGTTTCTAACCAAAGCCACAATCGTTCTTTCATGCGATGCTGTCAAATTGTGAAAATGTGTTTGTAGTAGCTCTTGCATATTTCGTGAGTGCTTAGTTACGTATAAGTGTCCTTGAAAGGATGATGACATGGAACACAAAACAGGCTGAAATGCCAGATACTCTAACACTCACGGAAATCGGCCAATATTTTTGAAAGTACGCTATAACCAATCTTCGCAGCATGAGGCGTCAACGTAAACTACAACTGTATATTTACGTTTATACTATTGAATGCGTCTATACAGATCGCTATCAGCGAGGTTACCCGTCGCGTAATTATAAACTAGCAACAATCCATTTTGCAATTTAAAGCTTTGGTGAAAAACGCGGAGTGGGATACTGTAATCTGTTAATGGCATTAATTTATGATAATTAAATTTTTTTTTCACCATAATTCGTCCAAGTATAAATAACAACCAATATATAAGTTAGCATGATATTTACAAAAAATGGGCTATAGGAATCTTCTAGAGACCTAATATGGCTTTTTACCTGAGGCCCATAGTTATATAATTGTACAGTAGCAGATATTAGGTATATAATACTGAATTAATTGACAGTTCGATATCAATATGCCGAAGAGAATAAGGGGAATCCTCTATCGGTTGATATAGTTTCAGCAAATATACTGAAACGACGTGTTGCACGATTGTTCCAGCAAGGTCGATACAGTCATGATATAACAATATTGTTACAACCTTGTATCGTCAACCTTATAACATTCTGGTTATAACAATTAACAATTCTTGTTTGTAACAACTTTGATGGCATTCTCACACTTGTTACAAGGTTGTTCTAAAAAGTCTGAGAATGCCATCAAGCTTGTTACAAATTGTGAACAGCTTGTTACAAACGTGTTACAACAACTGGGAACAAGCAGTGCGAACACAACTTGTGAACAAACTTTGCAGCAACTTGTTTGCAGACCTGTAACAACTTGTGTGTTTTTACATGTGATATTTAGACCAACTTTGAATTGGTCTTAGCTCGTTTTTGGTTTTCCACATTTGCTCCGATACGTCTCTGAATCGATTTTGGATCGATTTAAATCGCTAGCTTGAACCTTTTAAAAGATCAATCCGCAGTCCGTTTTCCGCAATCCGCGCCCAAGCCGAAATATGTATTATTACACGTTCGGATAAGGCTGACTAATTTTGAAAGCAAAATGCTACTAATAACAATATGTCAATATGTATTGACAGTTGATGTAATATAAATAAAGAATTATCTCGTCTGAATACTATTATTGTAAGCGATGTCCATTCTTTCACGAAACAAAGCCGCAAGTCTATTCGGCGAGAATGTAACAAATGTAAAAGGGCAAAACATCCAACAATTTCAATGGTTTTGGAGTATTTAATTAATAAGGATGACGGCATCTCTCAATATTTCATATTTTATTACCATGAGCATTTATTTTTGGTAACAATTAAAATTTGACAAGATGTTAATTAGGAAATCGGATACGCACTCGCGAGTCTTGTTGAAAAGCAGCATGCGAGAACTGGCCGATATAAAGGGTCATAAGGGGACCTCGAAGGGAACTGTTCATTATATGGCACTGTGGTTGTTAGCGTCAGTCCGATGGTCCGATATAATCTCCAGGGACGTCGCTATAGGGGGGGGGGGGGTGTTGCCCCCAATAATTCAAACGTTGGTCAAAGTTGGTCAAAATGAAACTGATATTTGCTTAAAATTGAAAGTAAAACTCGGGAAAATTTGGTAAATGTTTGGGATAAAAGATGGTCGAAGTAGGTCAAAGTTATGAAATGGTTCGCAATTTTAACAATTTTAAAGCTTTTGTTATCTTTGCACTGAAAAAATTGGAAGCCTTGCTTATCTTGGTCGAAAAATTTTGAATATGCTTCGGTTAGTGTGGAAAAATTTTTTTGAGTATGTTTATGTTAGTCCGGAATTTTTTTTTACTTCCTCCGCCACCCCCATGCCCCCCCCCCATGCCCCCCCAGGTAGGTAGGTAGGTAGGTAATACTTTATTTAAAATTAACAGAAAGAAGAACATGCTAGCCCCATCAACTCTAGGCTGGTTTCCATGGGGGGCGTGTTTAGATCTTAAAAATCATTAAAAGGAAAATTTAAACTAAATATTAGTACACACATACTGTACACGTTACTATATACAAATAATTAGGAAGCATGTCGCTGTCCAACAATTGATTTAAACGAATGAGGCGACTCGGCCAATTTTGCTTCGTTTGGGAGTTGATTCCAGAGCATAGCGCCGCTATATTTAAAACTTTTTTTAAGAAATTTTCGTTTTGGTTTAGGAATTGTTAGATCAGTTGCTGTGTTTCGAAGATGATAATTAGTTTGATCTATTTCTCTTCTCCCCATGCCCCCCCCCCATGCCCCTCCCCCATGCCCCTCCCCATGCCCCGTTGAGAGCATTTTCGGGAAAAATTTGTACGACTTAGTTAAAATCCTGAGGGAATGTTGGTCAAAACATGCCCCCCCCCCCCCCCAGTGTCGATGGCTTCGCGACGTCCCTGATAATCTCAAATTGTCTGTGCCAGTGTAGGTAGTGCCAAATAATGAGAAAGCTGCGAATAGACCTTATGCATAATGACGTCACAAGGCTTGATGCCCGCGAGGAATGCTGGTCTTAGTAGTCATCGCCCGGGAAAATTAAGCAATTCAAAATGGCCACTGTCGAAATTTTCCCGGGTGATGACCTATGGCGATAACTACTAAAACCAGCATTCCTCGCGGGCATCAAGCCTTGTAACGTCATTATGCATAAGGTCTATTGGTTATTGGTAGCGGTGCAACAGAACTACCTGAAAAATACAAGGAGAACTTCGACGTTTATGAATGAAGGCGAGCATGAATTTTATTGGCATTCTTATCATTGAGGGGGGCATTGGGGGTATTCAATACCGTAATACCGCAAGCAAATTTTGCCAATTACCGCAGTTTTTGAGTCCAAAATTGCAAATACCGTGTACCGCAAGATTTCCAATATCGTAATATCGCAATTTTTCAAGGAAAATACCGAAATACCGTGAGAAAAATAGGCTAATAATGCCATACCGTAAATCCCAATGCCCCCTCTATCATTGTATCAAACCGAAACTTTCTCGTTAGCCCGATAGCCATATGCAATTGATTCTATTGTCGACGGTTTTAAGGGGTTTCAAAACGATCCCGGCAAGGCCGGTTCCTTGTGGATTGTCTAGAAAACCCTGAATGAATTAACGGAATTAACTATCATTTTAAAATAATTAGCGGGAAAAGAATGCCAGGCTGCTAAGCTAGAACTTAGCCCAGTGGAAAACGCACGTTTGAAAACGTGAGCATTTGACCACAAATTCGAGCGCCGGAATCTAGCCATGTGATCGCTAGCGTTTTGCGGTGAGCACTGCGTAAAAACATGCCAATCTTAACGCCCTAATGATGTGATAAATTCATCTAATCGCCATTACCGTGGCAATTTAGCCCAATTAATGCTCGCGTATGTGTTTTGAACAACAATTAAGGAAGTACGAGGCTAGTGCCAATATTATGTACTCTAGTTACAAATAAAATGAACCTAACAAGAAACAACACGTTTGTGTCCATCAGACTATAGAGACCTTACGATTTTAGGACGGCAACGCGACGGCAACGGCTACCAATACAATAGATCATTGACCTCTGGATCATTGAAAAGAATTGAGTAATTACAATATATGAATAATTTAGACATTGTCCTCGCTCTGTTTACAACGCCAAATCACAGATTTTCACGTCTTGATACAATGGCCGCATTCCAAGCCACAACAAGTGCAACTTCAAACTGGGTTTAGCAGAACTCTTCCCAACCATAAAACCCATGTCTTCAACTTCTAAAACTGTGTTAAATTCACACGATTGATATATACGACGAACTATCTTTACTACCATTTATTTGAAGGAGTTTGTTTTGGCCGTCGTCGTCGCGTTGCCGTCCTAAAATCGTAAGGTCTCTTATAGTGAGTTTGAGCAAACGACGTTTTTCTCAACAAGGACGTCAATCGAAAATTGGTATAACTAATTTTTGCGGCATTTTGCCTCGTAGCGTTCGTGCAAGCAAGCAAAAAACGTTTAAAATCTTATGTTTTGTCAGATGTGTTGAAAATTACCACAAACTGACACAAACACAGTTTCTAATCCAGTCTCCCCTCGGCAATCTGACGCTGCCTCCTCCGCAGGCCCTCGTTGCGTCATGGGAAGGTCACGATCTGGCGAGGGCCTGCGGAATCTTGTAAAAAAAATGGCGCCGGCGTCACGTCAGCAAGTAAATTTCTACATAATCTTGAATATAAACAGATATAAAAAAGCGGTGTGAAACTTGTAAATTAAACTGGCGACTCTTAGGACGTGGAAGGAAGCATTTTTAACGATAAGGTTTGTTGTCCACACCAACGTTGCATGAATAAAACTGCCTTCTTTAACGAAGTAGGTTCAAAACAACATTTATTCATTTTACAAGATTCCGCAGGCCCTCTCGAAATCGTGACCTTCCCATGACACAACGAGGGCCTGCGGAGGAGGCAGAATCTGACGTCCATGTTGAGAAAAACGTCGTTTGCTTATATGGAAGTTATCTAATGTTCATTTGACTTTTTTTTTGTATACAGCTATTTCAATTAAGGTTGTCCACGAGCGCGAAAGGCTGCTGGGAATCGCTTTGAAAATTCATTCATTTATTAGGGATTCCCAGCAGCATTTCGCGCTCGTATTCGACTTTTCCGCTTTGCTCCAGTCGTGGACAACCTTAATTGAAATAGCTGTATACAATATGCAGTATTTATGAACAGAAGATTTGTGTTTTATTTCAATTTCATCGTTTAAAAAGACAGACAATATTAAAATTAAAATTGAAATCGATGGGCAAGTTTACGATATCAAGTGCAGAATAAAATTATATTTTAATATGGTACTTTTCTGTTTTATGTAAATAAGTTTACATAGTGCATACATACACACATATACATGCATGAACTTTGTTTCAATGTCGTATATAACTGTTTAGCATTAATATAACAGCTAATTTGGGATACTATATTTATATCTACATGCATGAATTAAGCCAATGGCAGCTAAATGTTGCTCGCCGGACTGTGACCACCACAAATCTACTGTGATGTCGTTGACATGTAGAGGTTTATATGCAGCATGAGCGGCCATGTTGTATATAAGCTGTATATAAGCTCGTATAGCAACTTGTTATGAACAGCCTGTATTAGTCTTGTTGGAACAACTTGTAGCAAGTCGCCGGGTTCATAACAACTTGTTCCAGACTAGTTACACTTACAACAACTTGGAACAAGCATTGCAAAGGTTTTAAACTAAGAACCTGCCCCGTTTGTCCGCCTGAATTCAAGTGATTCTTGTACTTTGGAAGCTGAATTGCCTAAATTTCAGGCTAATGATTCCTAGCCCATGCACTGGTTCTTTTATGCGGACTTTTCAAGGGAACACCTTACGTCATGTTGTATATAAGATATACTGACAAACTCGAGCCGAAGACGAGATACATGCCAGAGAAACTTCAAGACGTTTTATGTGAAGCTGGGGCGGTTTCGCGATTGATCTATTTTGACCAGAAATCAAAGCGTTGTATATGCAATACAAGTTCAATGAAGTTGCGCGTCGGTTACGAAAACCGGATTGGTTCTTGCAACCTCGTGTGTCACGTGACCATTTTGTTTACCATTCACCCCGTTGCTTTCTATCACGTGATCTTGTCCACGTTTGGTTAGCAGTACGTTGCTCCTCCACACCTCAGTTGTCTTCTTGGCGAGGTCTCGCTGTTCTGCACGCCAGCCGCGGTGTTTGTGGTAAAAGATTTCAAGGATAATGATGATAATTCCTGCACCAATGCCAGCCAATACCATAATAAACACTCCTAAAGCACAACGTTAAAGGATTAGCTTCAGAAATTGCAACACCACTGCTGTAGAACCACTGCATGGATTAGAGGTGTGCAAATCCGATCCGAATCCAATACGGTACGATCGGATTCGTTCGGATTTTGGGAACAAAAATATTCATTTCGGATTGGATCGATAAAGTTGTTTCGTAGTCGGATCGGACTTCGATATTCGAAATAAAATGAATTAATTATGCATAATAATTATTATTTGGTTAAATATTTCCACTTGCATGAGAAATTTATTTTATTAAAGGATTCTTCGGATCGGATCGGAATTCTTTATCACGACCACATCAGCACTTGTGCTGCGATTAGACAAATCGTGTTTAAATAAAAGCTTTTGTATTATATTGTATTGTATCAAAACTCGGATTCCGATTAGACAATTTCGGATCGGATTGGATTTTAAACATTAGCCAATTGTCGGATTACAAACGTCCAATCCGATCCGATGAACACCTCTAGCATGGATTAACATGTGTTACACCAGAACGCCCAGAGGAAACCCACGACGTTCGGCAGAGCGTTGACTGGCTCTTCACATGAGTTCGCAGCGAGAATCAAAACCACGATCTCAAAGGTTTTTACAGTCGTGCCAATAGAAGCGTTCCGAAAAATGTTGACCAATTCATTTCCTAACTTGAAGAAACACCTCTGAACAATTCCTCAACAATTTGATAAGTTCCTTAAAAAGTTCCTAACTTCCTGTTCCATTGACCAATCAAATTTTATATTTTATTTTTGAGCAATCTGATTGGTCAATGAAACAGGAAGTTAGGAACTTTTTAAGGAACTTATCAAATTGTTGAGGAATTGTTCAGAGGTGTTCCTTCAAGTTAGGAAATGAATTGGTCAACATTCTATTGGTACGACTGTAACACTATATATAAAACACACTGATTTCCAAGATTGCCTTGTGGGAATCCCATTATGGTGGAGAAGTAGATGTACGTGCTTAATTAATGAATAGACTTTTCCCCTTTTGAGTGAAATTTTGATCTAGACAAGTCTGGACAAAAATTTCATCACAGCTTAAAAGAGCATCACAAAATTAGTAATATTCCGAAGTTTCGTTGCGAAATGTTGTAAAATGCGGATAATATAGCCTGCGAAGTTTGCCGTTTTTCAGTCATTTTGCATTACAAACGGGAAATTGATGATCAGATGATCAAACTGATTACCAATTTCCCATTTGTAATACAAAATGACTGGAAAACGGCAAACTTCGCAAGGCATTTTACAACATTTCGCTACGAAACTTCGGAATATTAATTACTAATTTTGTGATGCTCTTTCAAACTGTGATGAAATTTTTGTCCAGGCATATCTAGATCAAAATTTCACTCATAAGGGGAAAGGTCTATTAGCTGTACATGCAGAAGACGCTTGCTGTGGGTGACTGCGCCACCGAAGCCCCCTGCAGTGTTAACCAGAAATTGCAAGGGACCGGTCATTAAATATGGCAAGGGGGGGGGGGATGGAGGAGAAACTAGAAATTTTGAGGCCCCCCTCAAAAATTATATGCCTTTTCAAGACCCCCCTTATGTATTTTATACTTTTTAAAGACTCCCCCCTCTTGTACCGCTTGAAAGTATAGTTTTGTATTGATGGCTGGCCCGATTAGGACAAAGCTTAGGAGAGCAAGTGATCAATGAAGAGTATTAAAAGAGGTATAAAATTTGATGAAACTAGTTAAATATTTTACAATCTATTTAGGTAGGTTACTCTATGGCCTATGCTTGTCTCGCCTACATCCACTGAACACTATATACGTACTCAATATCAAGTATAATATCAAGTTAATTAATGAGCTATAAACTGTGCTTGCTATGTTTTCTCTACAACTGCATGGTAGTTTCTTGTGCACGCATTTTTCCATGAACCAACTACTCTACCACTTCTGGTCACTGTTATTAGTGAGCTTAAGCAAGTGACGTTTTTGACAACACGGACGTCGACCGGAAGTAAAGTTGACGTTTTTCACCAATCACAGCCCTTGACCCAGTCTTCTGACGTTACTCATGCCGTCCGTGTTGTCAAAAACGTCACTTGCTTAAGCTCACTATTGTATAGTTATTGTTTCTCGTTATATACTATGACAGTGACCACTTCTGGTCACTGTTATAGTATATAACGAGAAACAATCCTTTTGTTGGGAAAAATCCGAAGACCCCCCTGTTTCACATAATGTAATTTTCAAGACCCCCCGCCTCAATGAAAAAATATTTAGGACCCCCTACTTTCTCCTCCATCCCCCCCCCTTGCCATATTTAATGACCGGTCCCTAAGCTCAAGAAACTCTGTAGTATGTACTTACCTAACATGTGACTCAGTCCAAGCGTCGCTGGTGCATTACTACTCTCGGGACAGTTTCCAATATCAATCCACGCTGTTTCCAATGCTTCCATT